ATTTAGAGACCTCTACTTCTATTCCCACAAGAAGCTCAAAACATATACAAAACTTGAACTATTCTGCTACTACTGATTTATTGTCCTTGAGCACAGATTTAAAAAAAATTTTTTTTTTATTTGTAGATGGACACAATACCTTTATTTTGTGTATTTTTATGTGGTACTGGGATCGAACCCAGCACATCACACATGCTTGACAAGAGCCCTACTACTGAGCCACAACTCCGGCCCCTAGATCTTATTTGAGATTTCCATGATAAAACAGTAGATGATACCAATGGGCACTCCATTATACATATTTGTATAATGAAAAGATTAACGAATAAAACAAGTGAACTGAATGAGCTGCCACTCCTCCACCATTACATCTTTCGGCTATGCATTGCTCTCACATGAAGGGGGCTCAGTTCACTTTTCACCTTACATTAGTGGTTGATTCAGGAATTGAGGAGCTCATCTCAAGTCAGAGCCTAGTAATGCCAACTGAAGCAGAGTCATGAACTCCTTCCTCTCCTGTGGCTCACTCTTTCTGGAGACAACAAAGCCCGACACCAGCAAGCCTGGACTCTTTCTGATCAGGACTATTTGAGAATATCATTGTACTACTATGGTAATATTTTGTCTCCATTTGAGGGTTCATAAATAAATATGCATTTGGGATAAAGTGGCAAGAGGGAATAGTTCTTGAAAGGACTTAAAAAGTCACAAAGACTAAATGAACACTCATCTGAAGTATTTTTTCCTTCTTTTTTTCTTTAAACAGAGTTTTCATTAAATTCCTCACTGCCCTACAGCTGACCACCAACAGCTAAGAACAGATAGCCTCTTCCTTGACCATCTTTCTGTATGCTTCCTTTTCCCCAACTTCCAATGCTTGATCAAAAGCTCAGAGTTACTTCAAAGGGCAAGGTCAGCTCAGCAGGGGAGCTTTACATGCCTTAAAAAGGGAAAGAACAGTTATGTCACAAATAGTTATTCTTCTTTTCTGACTTTCAGATATTGTCCTGGTCCTGCTCTTTGCCTTAGCCTACCTCCTCAGATGGTCACCAGCAAATGAAAAAATGAACAAATAAAACAAGTGAACTAAATGAGCAGCCAGAGTGAGCTGCAATGATTAGGAGGTAGAGTTAAAATGACTTTGAGCCATGGAGGTGATTCCTAGTCATTCTTCAGACTTCAAACTCAAACATGTTTCTCAAGTAACAGGTTGAACTCACAGTAGTTTGGTAGTTCAAATCCCTTACTTTGTTCACTCATAGCATTTTATTTCTTCCAGAGCACATCAAATTTTTAAGTACATTTTGTCTATTTGTTGACATTCATACCTCCCTTTCTGCAGCATATCCTCATCCAGGAAGGGGATGACCTTTGTTTTGTCTGCCACTGAGTCCTCAACACCCAGGCCATCTTAGTATATCTGGGTACTTATTAAATATTTTTAAAAAATCTTTCCAATTTCGTTTTCTTGCCTTGTATGTGAATTTACACTTTCATTTCCTAAATCCATTTGTCAAGGAATCTCATAAAAAAGAGCCTATGGGACAGACAGGTAAACTTCAAAATTTGTGTTTGTGAGTGTGTATGTCCATTGCAAAAAAATAAATATAAAGTACTAGAAATAAACACTATAAGAAACTCATTTAAAAATTTATTAAATGCTACGAATGAAGGTGAGAGTATTAGTAATGTTTTTGGGGATCATTCATCATTCCTGATTAAAAAACAAGTAAAATTCATAACAGTGACTAGAGAAAAGATAGCAACTATTCTCATATAACTATTCTTATATTGTATAACCCTCACGTTTCTCCTTATTTACTATATCCTTTTAATAAGTACCATAAGTTAGCAAAGGTAGACTTTACTATTCCCCTGATGTGCCCAATGTCAACTAGGTTTGATACCTGGTAAGATTAAAATATGGAACTCAGTCTTTAGGTAAGAATGCTCACTTTTCCATATATAAAATCGAATACATCTCAAAAACAAAATCAGCATTCACATGTAACAGAGTGCATTCATTCAGGTGACTGAATATTATACTCTGTGTAGAAAATTGTATTTAAAAATATAAAGAATAAAGTTACTAGATATAAGATCAATATAAAAAGATCAATTTTCTCTCTTTCTACTAGCAATAGTTAGAAAAAAAATTTGTGACTGAAGCTGGTTAGAAAACTATATACTTTAATTGTGAGATATTAAAAAAGACATAAGTGGAGAGAGTCATTTTATGTGCATAGAAAAGAAATATAACTGCAACTTCATCTATTCTAGAGTAGACGAAATTGCAGTTAAAATACCACAGGGCTGAACCTCAGTGGTAAAACATATGAGAGGCCCTGGGTTTGATCCTCAGCATTGCAAACAAAACATAGGACTGACAGATATGGTGGTGTATGCCTGTAATCCCAGCAGCTAGGGAGGCTGAGACAGGATTGTGAGTTCAAAGCCAGCCTCAGCAAGGCAAGGTGCTAAGCAACTCAGTGAGACCCTGTCTCTAAATAAAATACAAAATAGGGCTGGGGATGTGACTCAGTGGTCTAGTGTCCCTGAGTTCAATCCCCTGTACCAAAAAACAACAACAAATAGGACTTAACCTTAGAATCTAACAATCTGATTTTGAAATTTATATGAAAAGAAAGAACCAAAAATGAAGAAAAAGAACAAAGGCAGGGGACACACACTGTCAGGTACCAAGACCCATTATGTAATTCCAGAGTAATTAAGACATTATGGCACTGGTACAGAGACAAATAAATAGACCAATGGAAATAGAGTGCCAGAATCACACCCTCACATAAAGGACTTGAGATATGACAATGCAGATTACAAGGGGAAAGGATGGACTTTTCAACAAGCAATGCTGGAATAGTGCCTACTTCTTCCACAAATAGTAGAAGGAAAATATTTTTGATACTTCAGAGTATAAAAATAATATGGTTCATAGGGCTGGGGATATAGTTCAGTGGTAGGCACTTGCCTAATATGCACGAGGACCCGAACTCAATCCCTAGTATCATGAGGGGAAAGGTGTGGGGGACATAATTCAAAAAAGGAAAATTTGATAAATTCCAACTGTAATAACTATGTCTAACTATAATGATAATGAAAGACACATCACAAACCTGAAGATATTTGTAACATGAAATTGGAAAAGAATATCTAAAATCTGTCAAGAATCAAACGAAAGAAAGATAAAGCAGTACAAAGAGGTGAATAAGGATTTCACAGAAATGTTTTAAATTTCCTGGTTGTGTTGTCATAGAAAAAAATATGAATGGCCAATAACCATTGGAAAAGATATTAATAAGTAAAATGAAAGTCATCATCACAGTTATATATCATTTCAAATTCTCCAGACTGGCAAAAATTAAAACTCAAGGGGAAGCTGTGAAATGGCAGAAGCCTTGACTCCCTTGTCTTTCAGTGCAAGATGAAAAATGTGTGCTTTATGACCCAGCCATTCTTGTGGGGTTCTGTGGGTTACCCACCTATTAACTGATAAATGTATAGATTTTTTTTAAATGTACAGATTTTTAAGTAATCTTACTATGCTGTGTGATAAGACCTGCATTTCAAAACTCTAATAGATAATTATGAACATTTACTCACTGCATTGAGAATTTCTTAGTTCTCATATGGAAACAGGAAAACCTACTAACTAATCCCCTATTACTGGCTATCTAGATTGTTGAAGATCCCCCATATCCTACCCCTGAGACTAGGAATTGAACCCAGGGGAGATTTACCACTGAGCTATATCCCCCCCGCTTTTATTTTTCATTTTAAGAAGGGTCTAAGTTGCCCATGCTGGCCTCAAACTTGCACTCCACCTGCCTCAGCTTCCCAAATTGCTGGGATTATAGGCATGAACCACACCCAGCTAGATTATTGACAATCCTTTGATAGTATATATAAAAATGTGATAAATGCATTTGTTGGAAAACTTTGTAAACACCTCTAATCATTTAAGATAAATCCTTAAAACTAGTTTAAAGATGGGTATGCTTAATACAAATATTTTAAGTTATGTTTTGCCAAGCTATGCTACAGAAAATACTATTAACTTATACAACAACATATACTTTCCTCCTACCACCTTCCCAACACTGGATAAAAACATAACTTTTGCCAAATGTGTACGTGAAAACTGGTTCACTGAATTTTTAATTTGTACTGATTTAAGCAATAGCAAGGCTAGACAGTTTGATTATTGTTCACTTAGTTTTTACATAGTTAACTTGCTTAATCCTCTGCCCATTTTTCTACTAAAGTGTTTAAATTTTCTTAACAAAGTTCTTAATATATTCAGGATATTAATCCTTTCTATTCCAGGCATATTAAGCTTTATCATTTATCCTAAACTTGTTAGTTCAACTAAAGTTTTCAATTTTTACATAGTGAAAGCAATTTTTTTTCTTTATGGTTCATTCTAATATATAATTCTTAATGTCTAGAGAAGCTGAGGCTGGAGGATCACAAGTTCAAAGCCAACCTCGGCAACTTAGCAAGGCCCTATGCAACTTAGTAAGACCCTGTCTTAAAATTTAAAAAAATAAAATTAAAAATGGGCTGGGGCTCAGTGGTTGAGCATCTCTGGGTTTAATCCCCAGTACTACCACTACTACTACTAATAATAATAATAATTAGTAGTAGTAGTGGTAGTAGTAGTAATAGGAGTAACAGCTCCTTTCCCAAAGGATCATTGTGAACATTAATTAATATAACATACACTAACACATTTAATAAATAGAGTAAAGCAACACATAAATATCAATTTTTGTAGTCACTGACTAAATCATAGTTATTTACACTACATACCCACAGGCTACAGATTTTATAATTATAGGTACCTAAGCAGATACACTTGGGGATTAATAAGAATCTGAAAAAAATCACACACAGTATAGGAAGCAGATACAATAATACAAAACTACATTTCCCAGGATCACAACAGTCATAAGAAAGGCCACAAGCAAAGCAGGCTGTCTTACCTTATTCTTCCCCTTCCTCTGCCAGTTCTGTTTCTTTGTGCACTACCACTCTTGTGACTGACATGTCAGGGTGCTGCTCTTTGGCTTCCCTGATTGCCTGAGCCAATGCCTGCCAAGGTCAGAAGAGAAAACAGCCATGAGCGGCTCCACCTCAGGATGATAAAACTCATGCATGTTCATCAACTGGAACTGCGGTATAAGCTAAAATAGTCTTATTTCTTTAAAAAAGCAGGAAGATTCAAACTGAGATCATTTTATATGAATATGCTTCTCATATTCCCAAACTTCCCATTCCTCTAGTCCACTATGTAATAACAGGATGTGTAGAAGAAACATGTTATCTTTAACTCCCAGGCTTGTACTCACTAGGAGATTTTGAGAAAATGGCTCTTCTCTGAGCTTTTGTATTTTTACCAGTAACCTGAGAATAATGCTAAGGTTGTAAAGATTATTTTAAGGTTTGTTGTATGAATTTAAGAAATGATGTCAAGCAGCTAGAATATTGCCTTATCTATACACTAAAGTGATAATTACTGGAAACTCCAAAGTATGGAACCAGGCCTGCTTATCTTGGCCCTCTCAGACACCTATGAACTAAAATGTTCACTGAACTAAGATGTTGCAGGGAAAGTATCTATAAACTTAATCACATATAATTAGTTAAGCTACAGAACAGACAGACTAATTTTTAGATTATCAAGTGCAAGTCCCTCTTTTGTAGGTGAAAAATCTTAAGGCCTGAAGATTAATGGGTCTTTCTCAAGGCCATATAAAAATGTGATAAATGCATTTGAAAGGAAAGAGAGGACTGGGAATGCTGACTCCAGTGGTTGATGGTCTCTTCCTGAACTAGGCAGTGACAAAGCAGTTTCTTTATGCTTATCAGAAAGTAAAGTTTATTTAAAGAAAAGTTGTGGCAATAGGGAAACATCCTGTTTTTCGGAGGGGTAATACATTTTTCTTAATTATTGCTAGTTTTAATTTTTAAAAGGTTCTGGGAGAGAGTAAAAGAAAACAAAACACCACAGAATGACAAACTCTTGGAAATAATCCTGAAAGAAGAAAAGAAATTTTCCTAGGATAGAAAACAGCTTATCTCATAAAGAAAATATGCACTTGAAAAAAAGCAGTGCAAGTTTTCCTTCTGATTTGCCACTTGCCTAAATAGCACTTCTGTTTGCATTATTGTTCCTGTCAGCTGTGAGGTTACTAAGTAAAACCATATACTTCACTTCATTAAAAAATGGTAAAGCTACAAAACAAAATAGGGAGAAAGAAAAAACTGCCCCAATCGCTTTCAAATACATTTGAAATCAAGTTTGTCATAATTCCTTTCATTTCATAATGTAAGCATAAGAACTTAAATACTATAAAACATTATTATGACAACAATAAGGACCAAGAGACAACTAGCACAGCGTATTGCCAAAATGAGAAGTTATTTTATTAGAAATAAACTCTGAAGAGCAACCACAGTTTAGTTCATCCCTCCCTGGTATGGATCTAAAAGTGTCCTGACAAACCAGGTTTCCTAAAAACATGCCTCTCCAATTTGCTAACAAGACATTTGTTTCTCTGAGATGAAGACTTCTATCCATTAGTAAAATTCCTTTTAATGTAGACAAGGAACTCAAAAAGGTTCTAATGGTATTAAAATTAATACAAAATCAACATCAGTTTTCAACAGCAGAGCTTATTACTCATTTAAAAATAGCTTCATAGAACATACTGCCTGACCCAAAATGCAGACCACAGTTGTGCCTCTGGATCTGATCATGCAATGGAAACATGTCATAAAAGGTCAGGTACTCCGGGGGTTAGAAACACTACACTAGGCAAAGAACTTGCATCAAGATCAGGAATGAAATACATTAATGTGGATAATTTAGCTCTAGAAGGTTGATCACCAGATATCATGGAGTATGGCAAGATGTCTCCCAGGAATATGCTGAAAGATGCACAGATGATGGCACAAATCCTGAAGGATATGGGCATTACAGAAGATGAGCCAAGAGTTATAAATCAGATGTTGGAATTTGCCTTCCAGTAAGTGACCACAATTCTTAGATAATGCTAAACTTTGTTCCAGATATGCTAAGAAAGCTACTGTTGATGTAGATGATGTGCAATTGGAAATCCAGTGTCAAGCTGACCAGTCTTTTATGTCTCCTCCCCCAAGAGATTTTTTTTATTAGATATTGCAAGGCAAAGAAATCAAATACCTTTGCCACTGATCAAACCAAGGTACTAAACTGCCTCCTGATAGACAGTGCTTAATAGCTCCAAACTATAGGTTCAAGTCTTTACAAAAAAAAAGAAAGCAAGAAAAAAAGAAAGAAAAGGAAACACAAAGCATATATTTCTGCAGGAAGAGTAACAGTTCCACAATTAAAGTGTTACTAGCAGACCAAGTACTCCCATACGAGGCACACCAACCCCCAAAACCAGGTTTGTTTCAACTAAGCAGAGACTCCAATGTCTCTAACAGGGCAGAGGTTTATAGTACAGATGTTTGCTTCACAGTCCCCTGCTATAAAAGTCTCAAGACCCCGCAACATCAGCAGTTCAGAATGTTCTGATTGATCCACCATTAATTGGGTTCAAAAACACAGAATAAGATATTACCACTAACATGGTATCATCACAAAACACTACCAATGAATCATCAAATGCATTGAAAAGAAAATGTGAAGCTGAAGCTGAAGCTAAAGATGAAGATGAAGCTGAAGCTGAAGATGAAGAAGAAGACAACGACGACGACGACAACTATGATAATTTGGAATCTGGCTTTGATGCATGTAGCCTGTATACTTGGTCTTGAACCCATTGTACTGAAATTGAAGAAACATGCTGGATATTTTCAAGTTCTGTTTTAAGAAAACTTCAATAGTATTTAATGAGTAAATAATAATTACTATTCTTCTCAATTGAAATGTTGGATTTTCTTTAATAGGACCAGTAATGGTTATTACTGTGTGTATATATGTGACTGCATGACTAATATGATTCTGCAACCTGTACACTCAGAAAAATGAGAAATTATATCCCATCTGATTCAAATGTATGATATATCAAAGTCATTGTACTGTCATGTATAACTAATTAAAACAAATAACATTTTTTTTTAAAAAACTAAAGTTGTTCATTGATTTGATTATTGAAAATAAATAAATGAATAAAAACAGCTCTATCATCTCAATTTAGGAAGAAAGAAAATCTATCATGAGCCTGTGGTGACAAATGTATGGGAAGAAACAATTTTACTTAAAGTTTATGCTTACCTTTAAACATAAAAAAAGTTAAGCATCTACTCTCTTTATTTGGATATTTGAACACTATTTTTGAAGCATGTATTATATCATTGCACAAAAGAGATGTGTGTCTTTGCAGCAACAGTTAAGGCTGTAGTATCACTGTGACTTAAGAGTTAGAAATGTATAATTTGGTGCTTATGCCTCAGATTGTTTATCTGCCTTTCTGAAGCAGTACCTGGATTGAAGTTTTCATGTAAAATAGTCAAAGGTGGGGGGGGGGGGACATAAAATGAAACCTGAGAGTAAACCTGTGAAAAGTGGTATGCTAAAGTCTGAATAGACCTAGAGGTTCAGTGGGACAGAAGAGACAATTGCTGGGAAGACATTACGATTTGACTTTCTACCATGCCAACAAATGTGGGCTCTTGCCTAGCACACTATAGGAATTCAAGAACTGCTCACTGAGCAGAAGTTCTAAGGAAAAAGTTAAGAATCAGCTCTGCTACAATTTCACAGTGGGGAACTCAAAACTATCCCAGTGAACAGCAGCAGTAAAACAGAACCCTCTACGGGAAGCTGAAGGCTTGGTTTCCTCTTTCCCAAGGTGGAGTAATAGTAGTCATCTCCTAGGAACTTGTGCACCTCAGTTAAAACCCAGAATCAAGATTTAACACTCAAGGAAATTTTTAAAATTATGACTTATGTAAATAAAATAATGCTTACAAAGGCCAAAAAAAAAAAAAATGAGGAGCCATTTTCTTTGTAGGCCTGAAAAACATCCATTTCTCTATAGTCACATACAGAACCTTTCTCAAGCAAGAAATTCTTTCTCCAAAATTCTCTTTCTTGAGCTCAATGTTGTGTACAAAGTTGAATAACTATTATTTGCTCCTACAGCCCAGCCTGAAATGGTCCACTGAATCATTCTTTTCCATTCTTCAAGTCATTGTAAAATAGCCTCCTTTTAAAATCACTCAGAAAACAAAATAAAATAAAACCATCAGTTATGACTGTAATCTAAAATTAAAGTTACTCATCCAATCTCCAATGGTTCCATTCATTGCTTACTTAAAGCCCTGTGTTCTGCCAATCTTAATACAGAATGGAAACATAATCCTCTTAAAACTTTTCAGAATCACTATAAATTTTTACTTTGTATGAGATCTTAGGTTATTTTCCCTTCCTTCCTCCATTCCAATAGAAGTAATAAATAAGGAAAAACAACTAGTGGTAAATAGTCCAACTTTTCTTATGCTACAAAAGACACTTAACCATTCCTTTAAAAATACAACAAAAATAGCTTTTTTTCATTTTTCAGAAGACATCATCATTAAATTGACATTTTTTAAAAAAATATTTAATGACTTATCTTTAAACCAGGCCCACATGAATACCTAATGGTTGCCCCAAATCCTTCAGATGACTTTGACTCTAAAGTACATGTAAAACCAGTGGGACATAAGTAGCCATTCACACTTTATGCTGACTCAGAGTTAGAAAAGCTGAAATGATAGGTTACACACATGCTGCGAAGTAGAACTTAGAAGTTGGACTTCATCTGGGAGAAGACGTTTACCCAGGAATGTGAGAAAATGACAGACATAAAACAGCAAATAAGTAAAGTCGCTTTTAGAACTAGAACCTAAGGTCTTTACCTGGTCATGATCAATATCTGCATCTCCTGTGATCACAATGCGTTTCTCAATTCTTGTTTCAGATATTCCACCTTTTACAGTCTAAAAGTCATAAAAAGAAAAAGAAAGAACAGCAATGACTAAAGCATGTTTACATAGGCAGAGAAAAGAAAAAGGGAACCCACCTTGACCTTCTGTTCATCATAAAGCCATGCACAATGAATGATGGAAGACTGATGTTCTAGAAACTGACTTTCCTGTATTATTAAGTTCAATAGAGAAATCTGTTGTTAAAGTTATAGCATCCATAAGTATCCCTCAACTGAAAGCAACCCTACAATTAATTTATCAAGACTCAGGGCAGATTAAGACAGACTAAATACCATTTAATCCAAGTAATTTGACTGAGATATTCTGTTATAATTTCCTGGTTTTCTTCATTCCCAACTGGCCAGTTTTTAAAAGGGAGAATAGAAAGAAGAAATAACTGGTATTTGTAGAATTAAGAGTAATTTTAACAATTCTGGTATCAGTTTTAGATTCAGGAAACTGTTTGATATTATTGTTTACATTGCTTGGTTCTAATCATACAAATTCATTTAGTAATTCTGTTCATTTGATTTAGTGCAATACAAAATAGGACTTGGATTTGGCTTAAGATAGGGAAGACATTGAGGTTTTCATTAAATGTGTGATCTGATCTCAGTTATGCATGTGACTGACCTTAGGGACATGGAGCATGGCTATGCAAAGGTAAGGTGAGACCTGGAGGAAGGAGACCCTGGGTGAACTGCTCACAGTTACTGACTTGGGTGTAACCTGAGAGCACTGGGATGGACTGGAGCAGGCCTAGGAGGTCAACTGCCTGTGACCTTCTAAATAGAGATAATGGGAAAATACCACATGGTTGTGAAAAAACACACATCCATCCTTGCCAACTCTAACAAAATCACAAGTGATGGCTTTTTACTGTAAGACTTACCACGTTAGTAACTTGATATGCTTTAAAATGAGCACTGGTGGCATAATTTATGTGGCATTTTTTAATATACACAGCTGTTTTTTTGTGTGTTTTGATTTTGATTTTTTTTCTTCATTATTGATGAATTGAAGAACCGGGGGGGGGGGGCATAAGGGACACATTTAAAACCTTTAAACATTAATCAAATATGAAAAGTAGAAGTGAAAGGAAATACTAGAAAATAAGATTTAAGTTAGAAATCTGATTACCTAGAAGCTCCTAAAAATAATTCTGGGTTTCTCTACATCTGAAGGGGGCATCAGTATTTATGCTGGCAAGCCAGGGACCACTTGGTAATTTGGTGTTAAACACTTGGAGAATGATCTGGGAGAATGCCCCCCAAACTGACATACTAACATCTTAAAGAAATAAGGGAAGTTTTACAGCTTATCAAATGATCTCTGCTCTTGTAGCCATCTTAACTATAGATATTCATAAGATATTTTTACCCCCTTGTACTTTAAAAAATTGGAATTTGGTTTAAATACATGTCAATGGAGGCTAATTTCTCAGTTAATTTAAATCAAGGCATTTTTTATTCCACTGGCACTGTCTGTGTATTACTTGGAGGTGAGTATAGGAACAAAGAAACAATTCAGAAAAGATCCTGTTTGCAATGTACCATCCTCTCCCTAGATTCCCCTGGACTGCTTTACCTTGGTGATGTGTGTGGTTGTCGTTGTCGACACGGACTCAGATGTGATGGTTTGTGCAGTCAATAACGTGCCCGAATCACCACCAGCCCCGCCATCAATCTTTGGATAGTTGAGGGAAAAATACAAAGTAATGCTTAACTTCCATCATGTTGTCAGAGAACCCCTCCCCACTGAATATGCATCTTCTAAAAATCTATATGGTCTGCAGAAGATGCTATCCGCCTATCCTTTGCGTGTCTGTAGTGGTAATTTACGGTCCAGGAGAGTGGCTGGCATTTAAAACAGAGGAGAGGCAAAGGCTAAGTGCAAATGGAGCAGCAAACCCTGTGGGTAGAAAGCAAAGGAAGAACAGAAGTAGAAGGTGGGAGGGAAAGCTACAAAGGACTCAAGAGAATTTGTCTGAGGAACATTTGCAGAAGCTAGAAAAGAAAACTAGAGAGGCAGGCAGGGAAGTTTCCACAGTGACCAGAAGTGCTGAGTTTGTTATTGTCTTTTAAGCACAGGTGGGTAAAAATAGATAAACATTTTCTCAGATTACTAAAGCAATAGAGCCCAAGAGACACTGAGCCTCAGTGATTTGGTTATTTGCTTATCTCTAGATTTTTTTTTTTTTAACTACACAGTTGCTATAATAGTTTGTGTGCTGAGAGCATACATATTGGTACATATTTCAATATTGCATGTCTGCATTCTCTCTCTACATACATAACATATAAATTCCATGCATATATTAAAATAGGTTTTATTTTAATTTGATTGATACTGAAAGAGGTAGAAAGTTCTAGAATTTACCAGAGCAAAGAAATTAAGAGCCTAACACTTTATGTTATATCAAACATATCTGCCTTCTGTTTTCTGACATAGAAGTAACATATCTGACACAAGAAATAACTGGAAAATCTAAAGCCTTTCTGACTAAGGTAAGAGGAAATTTCTCTCAAATATGCACTGGGCACCTATATTTCTTTATGAGGTACTTACCTCAGTAAAGATACATGAGTAATGCTCCCAACACATATACACATAAGAAACCTGTTTGTGCTTATATGGAATCTATGCACACATGGATGAATAATTTTACAAATGTACCACTCATGAAGACATTAAACCTTTTTGGTGGTGCTGGGTACTGAAATCATGGACTATTGCATGTTAGGCAAGTTCTCTACCACTGAGCTACATTCCCAGAATAAATATTTGGAGAGGGCAATAACCTGCCATGCTCCACCTGGCACAATCCCACCTAGAAGGTCAAACTTTCCAGTAGAGAAAATATTTATCATATATATTTTAAAACAGTTCATTTTTAAATGATGAACACTTTCCTTTTTTGTTATTCTTAAGTTTAGACATTATAATGCTTATTTAAAATCTTTACAGAAGAAGTCTAAATATCTAAAATCAAATACATAAATCTGATAATTATTTACACACAGTATCACAGGTCATGTATGAATGACTACATATGTCTAAAAGAAAATAATCCAACATGAAGAAGGAGGGAGAGTATGTGTGTGCATATGTGTGTTACTTGTATGTTAGTGAGTTGACTGGATCTGTTTTTATGGAATTTAGAGCAAAGAAAAAAGCCCATCTGCTATTAAACCACAAAATATATCAGATTCAGTAAATTTCACGAGACAATCTATTTTCCAAGTGTATACAAACATTTTTGGACACAAGCCAGAAATGCCTTACAATAATACATATGAAATCCACACTGCTTATTCTAAATAAATATACTGGGTCGCCAATTTGATTGCAGCTCTCTGTCTCAATCTGAGAGCCACATAGCAATGTTGTTGGGGGAGCAGTTATAAAATGGAGACGTGAAAAGCTAAGTCAACGTCAGGAACATGTAAACGACAAGACACTGAAAACAGAAATAGACATACTAAGTAAAGAAGAACTCAAACAGTCCAAGTCTTGAGCTTTTGTACCTGTGGAGACTCATATGTGATGGTTTTGGTCTCAGTTTGGACAATAGGGACTTCCTTGGTGGAGATTTCTGTCCTTTGTGAGGCATCAGAAATTGTTACCATCTCTGTTTTTACCACTGGTGGCTGAGGTGGAAAAGGAAGGGAAAAATAAATTCTAGAGGTAATAAAGTAAAAGAACTTAAAGGAACCTTCAAAAATAAATTGTTTAAGAAACATCCAAACATACACTCATGCACAAAGGAAAAAAAAGAGTAAAATAACATAAAACAAACAAAAGATATGAAAGAAAAGCTTTCCTTCAAATATATCATATACACACATACACATATGTTGGTATGTGTATATGTGTGCATATATAAAAAATAAGCTAACATGATAACTCCTTAAATCATGTTATTCTTCAAATTATGATGGCCCTTAACTACTACACTGTTATACGTATATTCTTTACTTTGGAAAAGTAATGATAATATTGAAAAAAGTTTGAAAATGACTCAAAGTGAAATAATCTTGATTGCTACAGCAATTTAAAGCATCACAGGGTTTATGTGAACTCTTATTGTTTTTAATTAGCATGCCAGCTAGGTAGACAAAGATGTGCTCTTCTCCCCAAAAGACACCATTTTCAGAAAGGATATCTTCAAGAGTGATTGTTTCATTTGTCATAGCCTAAAATTTGCAGTGTTCCTTCTGTATTACATGTTAAAATGTTATGTCTAAAATTTCTCTATTAATGTTATAGTAACACTTTAAACAATTTCAAACATGAAAGTAGAGGTTCAACGGTCTTTTAACAGTGTACTCTGTTGAGTACATTGTACTCAGTACAATGTCAGGCTATGATACTACTACTAAAATACTACAGTACTTTCTCTGAGAGAAAATTCCCAACAGGTATAATTATTTAAAGAGAAACAACCATATATCAAATGCAGAAAATAATCAAAGACTCTTAAAACATCTTCTCTGACGAGAAACACAAAGTTTAAAAGTGACATAGTAAAAATCCATTTAATCATTTCAAAACAGTCACTTCAAGATTTTTCTACCCATCAGAGTGAATATGAATAAATCCCTATACCGTGGGCATTTTAGAATTGAGAAGCATTTCCATGGAAGTAAACCCTCCCTCAGCCTAACTCATTGCATCTAATGACCAAGAGTTGATCGAAGTGGACTTTGGAAAGTGTTCTTTCTTAAAGAGAAAAGAAGAACACTCATATCCAATGTAGATAATTCACAAAACATATAATCAATTTGCAAAGAGCTAATATAAGGACAGAACGAGAAGAGAAGGGTTCCCTCCTTCTACTACTGAACAGTTTCGCCTCTGGCTGCCTAGAAGGAAGGAAAAAGCTCTTAACCAAACCATACAATCCCTGGAATCTAAAAACAGAAATCACAGCAGCATTCAAGAAATACTGTTCTCATCACTGCAGGATGCTGCACTCAGAGCATCACAGTAATCAGAGCCTGCCGTCAGTTCTAAAAACCTTTAGTTCAAGAGCAAGAATGAGTCCAAAAGTCAAATCCAATCTGGCGACAGGAACATACACACTCACATTGACCATTTTCTCAACATTACAAATACATTTTTCTAATTAAACCAATGGGGGAAAAGGCATTTAGTTTGAGGAAGCAGTGCAAATAAAGACAAAACAGTTCAGAGCATTCCAAACATGCAAAGAAAATTTAAATATGCAATGGCAAGGAAAAAATGATGAGGTGACTGTAGGAAAGTTTACCCTACAGGTGATCCAGTGGCAGTAGAGAAGCTAGAAACCATGAACTGAGCTGGCAGAAAATCTACAAGCATTGCTTTCCCCCTTCTTCCCGTGAGAGAAAAATTCTTGTTGAAAAAACTGAAGAAGAATTGGGAAGACAGGCGAAGAAGAAAGGCAGGTGTTTCCCACCTGAGAAATAGCTCTATAGCTTAGCTCCCGCTTGGAACTCCCATTTACCTCTGAACAACAAATAATTTGTGGCAAAACATCAATGTCAACATGAGACACCTCTCCGTTAACTTTATGTTGCTCTTCCTCTGTTTCTTCTCCCATGTCTTGCTTAACCGTGCCTTCGTTTATACTCTTCTCTGCAGATATCTTTTGGGCAACTACATTTTCCTGGGCCACTGTTTCTACTGTGATTACACTGGCACCTGCTTGTCTGCCCGGGCTGGCTTCAGGCACTGCTTCCTCCCTCTCTACTACCTTGGCTGCTCCGCTGGGCTCTTCCTCCGTCTCTTCTTCATACTCCTCCTGCTCTTCCCTTAGGGTGCCCTCGGTCACATGGTGGTGGGGCCGGTACTCTCCCACATCTTCCTCCTCACTCTCACTGCTGCTGCTGCTCTCAGAAGACAGGGAGGTGGAGTCTTTTTGTGTCACAGGCTCCACCTTACGAATCTCCCCAGGACCACTCCCAGGTGATATCTCTTTACCATTCATTTCTTCTGTGATTACTCTTTCGTCTTTCCCAACCTCTGCCTGCTTCTTCTCCTCCACTACATTCAGAGTCTCATGTGAACTCTGTACGAAAAAAAAGATGGATGAGGGAAAACAAAAATATATGAATAAATAAAAACAATGGAAATCCAAATTAAGTGATGGCAGATTCATGTCATGGAGAAAAACAAAGATGATTATGATGGCTGACTGAAAGGGAAGAGGGGAAAAAGTGAGGGGATGAGGTGTCAGGCAATGTGTTAACATGGAAAAGGGGAGAACCTTAACAGCATCCCTGGCTCCAGTGCAAGGACCTTCTGACGCAGGAGCACGTGTCTGCGGAACAAAAAGCAACCAAGGACACAAATCAATAAGGAGTTACCTCAACAACCGCCAAAACAGACATCTGACACCACAACACAGAACAGCAAGAATGAACATCTACGAAAAACTCTGCTCAAGGTCACACAGGACAGTCAAGACAAATGCCTAAAAGCATATAAAAACGAACAAAAACAGCCAGCATTCTCCCAAGAAACAAAATTCTTTTATTTATAATTTATACCTACAAGTACCACTTATGTAAAGTGTCATATGTATACACACATACACACACACACGTGTGTGTGTGTGCGTGCGTGCGTGTGTATAAAAGCTTACTGAGCACTTAAAGGAATATGTGAAACTCTACAGTTTGGGCTTTAATCAGACTCTAGAACCCAGGCTGGAACCTTGACTCCTCAATAAACATAGCATTCAAGGAAATGGTACCTATAATTATTTGCTGATACTTTTAAAAAATAGCTTTACTGGCAAAATTATAGTTGGCTTCAGATAGCTATCAAAATAAAAATGTTCATTTCAAAGACTGTCAATAACATCCCAATTTGTATTATAGATTAGCAAATATTACACATGAGGGCAGATGTCAATGATAGCCCCAAGTGCTTTCTCTTAGGATTTAGTTCCTTCACTAGCATCTTTGCAATCTGAAATGGATCGACTTTATTATTGGAGAGGTTCATTCCTATTCCCTAGAGACATGATCTTCTTGGGAGTAAATTAATTTATTATATTTGAGTAATACAATATCTAAATGTTTGACAAATACTTGTCAACTGAACATATTAATATTGTATTTCATTACATAATTGTTGCCACTACATTAATGGTATTCACAAGTATTCTATGAATACTAATTTTACACCAAAGACAATTCAATAATAAATAATTTTAAGCAATGCCAGCACAATTAAAAATAAAACAGCTTCATATAATGGTTGCATCCTACTTGTTTTGGTAAAAAACAAAAATGTTTGGCATAAAATTTGCAACAATTATGCAGTGAAATAGGGTAGTAAAAATTACTGTGCTGTGGTATTATTTACTAGGGTAAAAACTTTTCTTTCTTAAACAGGAATTCATTTTAAAGCTTCAAATTTCCTTACATTCTTCTTCTTTTTTTGATTGTGTGCCTCTGAACCCTCTGGACATTGTTGTGAAGCTGCCAAGGCTAACTGTGGTAACAGATATCGGGATTTCACACTCATCTGCCCCAGCAACATGGACAACCAGAGCTAAAGGTGTTCAAATGGCACACTTGTCCACAGCATCTTTCAACATATACTCACAAGCTCTTTTTGATCTGTTCTGTTATTTTTAAATGTCTGGTAAGGTTATATTTGAGTTGCTCAAAATTCATACCATATAAATCATTTGACCAACAGAACAAAGATAATCATCCTTCCAGTTTTACTGAAAACCAGGAGGTTTCACACATTAAATGGAAAAATACTCTGAAATTATTTTTATAAGCAGGTAACACTTAACTGTAACTACTTATAAATTCCTGTATAAATAAAGATATCAAGTGATCAGAATACTTCTAAATCAGACATTTAATGATTACTACAAGTAAATGAATTATTCTTACTATTTATTAGTTAACTCAAATGGCTAGATACGTTCTGCTCAAATTCAGAGAACCCCTTAGGGTCATTCAAAAACAATGACTTCACTGATACGGCAGGCACTTCAAGTTTTTTTTCATATAAACAGAATTTTAAAAATGAACCTCAGAAGATGCCCAAGATTTGGATTTGAAAACTTGAATTCTCCTTAGTTGAGGCTTTCCTTCTACTTAACACCTCAGGCTCCAGGCCATCATAGTTTAAGTGATTCCCTGAATTTAGGCAGAATTTTTGTTTCTGTTTTCGACCAAAAGTATCAGTAGAAACATCCAATCTATTTGTTTTCCTAATATCCAAACTCTGTCACTGTTCCTTGAATGTTTCTCCCAGAGAGTTTTAATTTCACCAGTGAAAGCACTGGAGGGAAGGAGGCCTTAATATTCAAAAAATTAAAATCACTCTCATATGTGGCTTTTAGTAACAGGGGAAACAAAGTAAAATGCACCTCTGGCAAGTGTGAGAAGGGCGAGGAGGAAAGCTTTTCTCTAGGAGGTGCATTAGGGTTCACAAGAGCGCCCTCTGCTGTCCAAGTGGTGGCTGAAAGGAAGGTGGCTTTCATGCTATCAGAAAAGCCCTTTCCACTAAACAAAATTGATGTTATCTCCTCTTCTAGGCTCTAGAGAGGTCAGAAAAGGAAGAGCAAAGAATTAACAATACATCAGAACAGACAGCAGTGACCTATTGGAAAAAAAGGAAAGGTTACACAAGAAAGAATAATAGAACAGCATAAACTGAGAGAAAAGAATTTTGAAGATTCTACAGCAGTATATGGAGGTATGTCTGAACACAAGCTTTTCCACCTTGCTTAAAAAATCTTTGGTAACTGTAACCTACAGAAATCAGCTAAAACTTGGTTTATTGCTGAATCTTTATCACAAACAGCACAACCTACCTACCTACCAAATACTATTGCACATGTCCTGGGTACTTCCTCAGTCTCTCTGCACAGAATGGCCTCTTCAGTAGCTCCTACACCTGAGATTTGTCTTATACTACAGCATGGGTCACCTCCCATCCCCACACCCAAAGCCCTCCCCTATGCATTGAAGCCTTTCAGATTTTGCCACTAACAGGCCATATTTTGTGTGAGGCATTCATTCCCCAATCATCTAGCTCCTATGATCACTTCTCCTCTGCACATGATTTTGTGCAACATTCTTAACAGCAACCCACAGTAATTCTCTCAGGCATGCTAAGTATTCTACACAATAAAAAGATTGTCTTTAAAAAAAAAAATTTAGCTAAAAGCAACAGGAAATGGAAAAATTTTAAATAAGACAAACCCAGGTCTGAAAACTCAGTGAGCAATGTGAAAATTATTGGTTCCTGAAAAATTAAAGCAAATTTTAACTTTCACATTTTTGTTCCTTAAACAATGGTTGCTAACCTGCCTGAAAGAACAACAGGAAAGCTGGGTACTGTTCTTAGAATCTTGGAATGTCACTAAAAAGAATCACCATGAAGAGGCTGGGATTGTGGCTCAGCAGTAGAGTGCTCACCTAGCATGTGCAAGGCACTGGGTTCAATCCTCAGCACCACATATAAATAAATTAAAGTATTGTGTCCAACTACAACTAAAAAAATATTTTTTAAAAAAGAATCACCATGAAGTGTCAGAGGAATAAGACAATTCTTAATAAATCCCACTCTTCAGATATATTTTTTAAAATATATAAATAAATGCATGAGATTAATGAGACATCCCTTCAGACAGTAAACAAAGAGGGATGAGGAAGGGAATATGGTAAATGCTTGTAATACTCAGGAAAAAAAAAAAAAAGCTTCTAGACTAATTCAGTTCAATTATAATCCCAATGATGACACCATCTCTAGGGGTAAGGGTGGGGTAAAAAGGGAGTCCTTCCCAATAAGAGAATACTGGGGAATTTAAATAAGTGTCACACATTTAATTATTCAATAAAATACCTTCAAAGCATCTGAAAACTACTGTCTAGATAATCTCTGTTAGACTCATGAAAATACTTTGTACACGTTGTCATAATTCTCATAATTCTTAAGAGGATACACAATTGACTTATTTATCCATTGAGGACTAAATGACTTGGTTTCCAATTTTTTGTTCTATTCTCAAAATCATTCACTTTCAAACCAAAACCATTTTAAAAGTTCAGTGCACCTATTTTTTTAAAACAAGAAATTATTACTGCTTATAAAAACCTATAAAACCGATACATAAGAATTTGGAAAATTTGGTCAAATTATATACTTGCACATAATCTTTGATTTTGCACTTCAATATGGAATATAATTCAAAGATAAACAAGAAACTTTGCAAAATCCTTAGCAAAAAGAAAATACAGATATGAGGACCGAAATTAAAAATGTATTCTGAGGAAACAGGGGTTGCGAGGAGGGGGGAACAGAGGAAGTACTGGGAGTAACACTGGCCAAATTATATTGTCATACTGTGTGCATGCATGAATATTTAACAAATCCCATCAGTATGTACAACTACAATGTACCAATTTAAAAAAGCTAGAAAAAAAGGAATTGTTAAAGTCAAAACACTGCAGTATACTCAACTGCTCACATACTTTGAGTTAATAGTAGTACGTTATTTCAGAAAAAAAAAAACATATGCATGTATTTAATGTATTTCTGGGGTAAATAAATGAATATAGTTAGAACAATCTACATGCATGGCAAATAAGTATGTATTTTTTTCACATGTATTGGAGAGGAAAAGTACAGAAAAAGTTGTAACTTCAAATGCAGATAAGCTGAATAGGGGCTTTTCCTGATTTAAATTTCACATAACTTCATTTTACTATAACATTTATAAGACATTTCATATTGTACATTTGAGGTGGGGTACCAGGAATTTTGAACTCAAGGGCACTCAACCACTGAGCCACAGCCACAGCCACAGCCACACCTCGCTGTGGCTGTGGCTGGCTTTGAACTCACTATCCTCCTGCCTCAGCCTCCCAAGCCACTGGGATTACAAGTGTGCACCACCACGCCCAGCTATGTTGTACATTTCTAAAACATGAGATCCAGAAAAATAATTTTAAACATCTTCATCAAAATCCCAGTTTCCTACTGCAGAAATCCAAAGACATCACTCTACATTGGATCAAATGATGCCATTCGGCCTGCTTATGGAAGACAGATGTTTACAAATATATTTAAAAGCATGTAATATTAAAGTCCTTATTATATACATACTGTCTAACTGGCTTTGGATCTCAAGCTAAACGAGAGAGAGAGAGAGAGAGAGAGAGAGAGAGAGAGAGAGAGAGAGAGAAACACGTACCACTTGCTTTGGGTTTATAACATTACGTTTCTCATTTGCAGTGTTCCAGAAATTATTTCACCTCACCTGGACCTCAAAGTCCTTAAGGGAATTTTCGTATCGTTTCCTTCCTTTCCCACTCTTTACTGTGCATCTAATGATTACTCTCTAGTGATTAACAAAATCTACTTTACAGAAGGGAAATATTTTATTACTGATCTCTTCTCTCATTCACATCCCTTATAATCCATTTCTTATCCAGTGCCAGAAGGATTTCTGTTTGACACATAGGAAATTATCTCAAGACTCACCTTAAAAAAAATCTCCAATGGCTTCCCATCATTCCTATAACATAATTCTAAACCATAAATATAATTTTTAAGACCCTGACATGATGTGTGGGTCTGACTTCTTTGGCCTTTACCTTCCTTTGTGCTCAGCCTTATTCAACGAGTTCCTGCCTTAAGGTGTTACATTTGTTCTTCCCTACAAATGGAAAAGTCTTGACATGTCCACTTCCTTGTCATCAGCAAGGTCTCAACTCAATTAACATGTCCTCCTGACCACAATGGTAAAGCAGCTTCCTTATCCCCTTTCTAACACAGCACTGTATTTTATCTTCTTAACAGTTACTTCTTAGTACCTGAAATTCTTTTTACTAATATACTTGTCTGCTGTCTAGCTCCACCACTAGACTCTGAACTTCCCAGGCCGACCAGATGAGTAAGCATGATCAATATAATTAGAAGAGAGAATATAAAAGTGCTGGAAAACAACTTCCTCATTAATATCAGGCATTTCATATAAATGGGAGCAAGAGAGAGATAAGAAAGGCTGCTATGATGCAAAGTCTTTTTTCCCACTAAAAGTCTTAAAAGTAAAATGCAGGTTTTCATATGTGATTAGTGAACTAGTAACCTAATGCACATATAATTTGTTATTTTAACAGAACCACAGTGTGCATAAGAGTTATACAGTGCATTTTCACATGAAATTATAGTTTCCCAACTGTCAGCCACATACATCAAACTAGGGATCATTTTATCAGCTAAACTGGTTGTTATTTCTTCATGTCAAATTGTGAATTTTCAAGTAAAGGGCTTATGCACCTCCCTGATGATTCTATGCTTCTAAATATGAGGAATCAGTTTTAATCAAAAACTTATTTGAAAAAATTAAGGTTGATACGTAAGAAAAAGGAAATATCTATGGATGTGGACAGAATAAATGGAAAGGGGCAAAAAGCAAGAGTAGATCCAAGGATGCAAGGTGAACACCTTGTCCGCCTCCTGAGCTTTATCTTCAACTGTCCGTGTTGCTGCCGTCAGGTACTTCTCCTTCATGGACAAAATATCCTTGAAAAGATGGTCTCCTTTTCTCTAATGTTTTAAACAATAGACACAATCAACAAATAAGACACATACATTACACCTATAGCAACACAAACATAAAACAACTGTGTGAGTCAGTGGAACAAGTCAGTGGCACATAAGGAAGGCTTTTAGCATGTCATCAGACACTTTCTCCAGAAAACTCTAGAGCAGACTGCTAAAACTGATATTATCTCTAGGAAATCTGAAAATAAAAATTTAGGTGGTATCTACCCTATCATACATGGTGTTTTAAATCTTGATATTTTCAAAAGTTTTGTTCTTCAGTTCCGCAATTATTTTTGCCAATCTGTTTTTAAAGTACTATTTTCCTTTCAACATCACAAACTTTGGTTTTATTCCTAAGTCTTTGATCCATTTTGAGTTGAGTTTTGTGTATGTTGAGAGATAGGGGTTTAATTTAATTTTGTTGCATATGGATTTCCAGTTTTCACAGCACCATTGTTGAAGAGGCTCTCTTTTCTCCAGTGCATGTTTTTGGCACCTTTGTCCAATATAAGATAATTATAATTTTGTGGGTTAGTCTCTGTGTCCTCTGGTCTACAACTCCGTTTTGGTGCCAATACCATGTTGTTTTTGTTACTATTGCTCTGTAGTCTAGATAGGGCAGAAGGGTTGCAGGAGAAGAGAGGGGGCATGGGGTTATAAATGATGGTGGAATGTGATGATCATTATTATCCAAAGTACACATATGAAGACACAAATTGGTGTGAATATACTTTGTATACAACCAGAGATATGAAAAATTGTGCTCTATATGTGTAATAAGAATTGTAATGCATTCCACTGTCATAAATAAATTTTTTAAATGTCACAAACTTTGAAACTTAGGGCAACCAACAGCTTGGCTTTTTAAGGAAAGGTGAATAAAAATAGCATTAGAATATCTAAATTAAATGTCTACAATTTGACAACATCAAGCCACACTAGACACTGAAAGTAGAAATTGCAGATAAGATCTTTGTACAATTTTTAAAACTGCAGAATAAAGAGTATGATCACTGTCTCAAGTATGATGAGCCCATTGAAGTTCCTGGTCAACCACAGGAAGGATTTGGGATCATCAGAGAGAAAGAGAGATACATAGGAATAAAGAGAGAGAAACATTTGAAGAATATATTCTACAGGTATTATATTTGTGGTGAAGAAAAGTAAACTATAGAAAGAAAAAATAATAAGTGTGAAAAGACATTATGACTAAAAATGTTTTAAAAATGATATTTATTCTATATACATCATTACTGGGAAGTTTGAATATTAAGTTATATCATATAAAACATTCAACAGGACTCAAGTCTTTAAATGTAAGTTTTAACTTATTATACTCATGGCAATGACCTTAGAACATTATAAATATAATCCACATTCCTTTAGATATTAATTATTTACTTGTTAATTTCCTTATTTCAGAAGCAATAACTAAGTAGCTTATTAAACACAATATTATGCTATGTTGTCCTGTATAAGAATATATTTGTATTAGCTTACTTGAATAAAATAGTAAAATTACTCTGAAATATTTCAAAGGCATTTTGAAACTCGTAATTTACCTAAGAACTAGGCCAATAAATATTACATTGTTAATAAATATTTAGTATTTTAAAAAACTGTTAGCAATATAAAAAAAATTAAATGGGAACAATTTGTAATTTCTGATGATCAACATACAAGATTAACATCCTAAACTTTACTGAACAGTGGAGCGAGATATATAGCCAACAAACAGCTAGTGACATACCCCTTGTGTCTGTAGGGACAGAGGTGTGATACGTCGTTTTTCCCATTCATTAGGGCGCGGCTCAGGTGTGGATTCCATAAAATTGCGCTTGAGTTCACTAATGCTAGCCTGATGTTTCAGTATGTCCTCCTGGGCCTTATCCAGGTCCTAGCAATATGTAACGTGACAAAGGGGGGGAAATCCAAAAGGGAAAAACCCAGTAGGACAAAAATAAAAAAATAAAACCAAAAAAAATAAGACAAAGCACACTTATGATTAAAAAAAAAAAAAAAAACATAGTAAAGCAAGAAAAATGCCAAGTCTCAAAAGCCATAAAACCACCTATTGATAATCCTAATGAGTTCATCAAAATTTGGAAATAAAGCCAATGTATATCTTTATGACTCATTTTAAAGATTCTAATTTATTCTATTTAAAATATTTTTTAAAATAATTATTTACAGTTATTAGAAGGAAGCCATGGAACTGATCACCAAAATGGCTAATAATCCTTCTGTTCTTGAATTTGAATTGCAGTCTGTGACTTTGTTCCTTCAAATCTACCTTTCTACTATTAAAATTGAATTCTGTAAATGCAGTAAGTCAAGCACAAAACAGAGAAAAGTAGATTCAGAAGCACACTTAGCCTGAAGGGAAAGCCAGTCCAGAATCATCAAAAAAAAAAAAAAAAAGGAAAAAACCAAAGGTTGACTTATGTCAGAAAATTCCAATAGTGCTTTTAATCCTTATGGAATAAATAAAAAAAAAATACCTCTTCTAGAGGTTGATTCTGTTTGGGATCCCTATAATAATGAGCCTCATTCTGGTCTCATGACATGCAGAGCACAAACATAGGGCTCAGATGCCTCACACACCAAACAAAGATGCAAGAAAAACTACCAGGTCAATTTTCATGATTAATGGAAAGACTGGCTCTGGTAAATAGTACATGTGGTAATTCATGTTCAGGAAATGATTGTAACTGAATTTAAATGTTTTCACACATTTCAAAAATCACAGGGCCGCCTGCAGATTATAGTTTTCATCCCACTCCCAAAGGAACAGGTCATGCATTTGATAAAATTAGATAATCCATATGCATGCACAAGCATACTAGCTCATCTATGAGCTTCTATAGCCATTTGCAAAAACTCATAAAAATCTAAAAATCTTTGCATGGCATGAGAAAATGACTGTGGCTTGAGATCAGGCACATTTCTTGCGTTTGTTCAAAGCAATGTTACTTATTATACTTTATAGCATTTTAGTAAATTAAGCAAAAAAAAAAAAATACATTTCCAACAGTTATCAAAGCTGCCAGAAGCAACCAGATTAGTCAGATTACTAAGAAATGCAGTTCTCCACTGAATTCACTGCCACTCACTATCTACAAAAATAAAAACAAACCTGTTCTCATGTGACACGGGGAACATATTTTACATTTCTAATTGGGTAGTTAATTTTTTTGTTTCTCTTTGTCTCTTTTCTCTCTATCATTTGCTCTTTCTAATCAAAACAATTCAATCAGTATATTCGCAAACAGAATACTTTAAGTGGACCACATTACTAATCACATGGACTTTAAAAATATATATATGGGCATAGATCAACAGTCAAATGATTTAATGTCAGATCAATAAATACCTGTTCTGCTTAATATATATTAAATGTAGAACCATGTTACTTCAGATTCTATGCCCTAGAGATAATTCATTAAGAAAATAGGCTTATTTGTAGAACAATTCCAAGACTAAAAGTAAACTTTACTCATTTTAGTAAATAGAACTTTTTTCCCAGTTGTCACTTTGAGAACTTCTAATAGATCTAATTTTATCTTAGCCACTTTAAAAGAACCAAGTTGGACTGGTAACATGCGCTCCCAAGTTGAATTTCCCCCATGCATGTCATGCACTGTGCTAGAAGAACATTGCCAGCCAGCCTGTGCGTGACCTCCCGTCCACAGCAGCCTGGCAGCCATTAGGACAATTGTTTTCTTAGATTATACAAACCTCCAACATTAAATTGCTATGTCTGACATAAATATTATCCCCTTCTACTCTCAAGGAATTTTTCTGTGAAATTAAATCACACACAGGGGGGGGGGAGGCAAATAAATGTAAGTGTATCAATCAGCAAGCACCAGAAATGACCCAGAATTTGAAAGCTCTAAGACTTTAAAATAAAAGAGGAATAAAAATCTTAAGAACTTAACACCACAACGAACAAAACTCAAATAAGCGCTGAAAATACATTCCAATACCACCCCAACAGTAATAATGGCAGGCAGCAACCACCAGATATTTAACTTCAGGGAAAAACAGCCACCTCCTCCAGATGTGTTTCTTCTTCTTCCATCTTCGCCTGGAAAGGCACATAGCAAGCAGCCAGAAAGAAGGGGAGCATTAGTGGGAACTCTGCCATCAGTGCAGAGAAGCTATGTTCAAACGTAAATGGCAAAGCAGCATTACCAACCTTCTCTGTATGGCCCTCAAGATGCAGAATATTAAGCCACTCTGGTCTTTCGTCACCTACAGTGCTGTACAAATGATGGAAATGATCCTTTGCAAAGTGGAATGGAGAATGGAAGCTTCACTCTTTCTCCGTCCCTAGATTATACTCTGCTTTTGAATTTTTTTTTTTAACTCAGGAATGAAAATATCAGAGTGCAAATATGGCATAATTCAATCTGCTGTGCTCTGACATGTCTGAATCAACTAGAGAGGAAACCGGTATAATGACATAAATCTTGTCTTTTGCCTTATATTGGTTATATATTTTACATCATCATACCTTATACTGTCACTATTTTTTATAGATATGGATTTCTTTCCTTGGGGGCAAATGATTTATTTAGCTACTCTCATATTAGGATGGTATTTAAAATATACTTTGAAATATAGTCACTCTTCTTAAATAAAAATCTTTAATCAAGAATACTTTTTTAGCTGGAGACGGTAGCTCATGCCTGTAACCCCAGCAACTTGAGAGGCCGAGGCAGGAGGATCCCAAATTCAAAGCCAGCCTCAGCAATTTGGCAAGGCCCTAAGCAACTCAGCGAGACCCTGTCTCAAAATAAAATACAAAAAAGGGCTGAGGATGTGTCTCAGTGGTTAACTGCCCCTGGGATCAATCCCTGGTACCAAAAAATAACAAAATAAGAATAAAAATAAAAGGGTTGGGTATGTGGTTTAGTGGTTAAGCATCCCTGCATTCAATCCTCCCGGATCCAAAAAAGCCCTTTTTCATTGCTGGACATTTCTCAACATCTAATGATTCCCCCCCCCCCGCACCCCCAAAATAAATCTGGAAGATTAACATAAATCTGAGTGAATTCTGACCCCAGGAAAAGAATGGCAAAAAAGAAAAATATTAATCTGATACTAAAGGAAATAATCTTTACAGGTTAATTCATACCATATATTCTTTTCCTTCTTTGCTGGGATAATGGTGTCAAAATGCTTACCTTTGTTTTTGGTAACTACTCACAGTATTTTTGAGAGGTAAGCAGGGAGCTCAGAGTCTTTTTTATCAGAAGTGAAAAATGAGACACAGCCATTCAACAATCTGTTAAGAACTATTTTCCAGTTCCTTGGTTAGCACTTAATTCTCTACAATGCTATCTTTGGTGTTTCCCATGTAAATTCACAATTGTAGTTTCTCCTACCATGCATACTCACTACATTTCTTCACATTTCTCTTCAGGTTTTACTCCATGTGTTAACAGTATACACAGGATACTCTGAGATACTAATTCACCAGACCACATTTAGCAAAGTAAGTTAAAAAAAAAAAAATACTGTACATGTTAACACCGACTGACTAATTAGTGCAGAGGTAGTATGCTTGAAAAAAAAGTTGCCTTATATAGGGGTTAAAAATCCTCACACCAGACACCTAATTTTCAACAAGGGGCCTAATCTCAGTGCTACATGTCTAAACTCTCAAAAAGCCATATTTCATTTTTCACACACATTTGTTAAAAGTAACAGAATAATATCTTCCTTATAAAATACATGACCACTGACTCTTAATATAAATACATGATTTAGGGTTGGGAGAAAAAAAAAAATCCTAGCTAAAATTCATCTGGCTAGTCCCCAAATGCTATAATAAAAGGAGACAAGGAGTTTCTGAGATGAGACGTAACAAATGTCATGGGTAAAGGTTACTGATATAGCCTCACAAATGCAAGAACAAGCTTGGATTTTAAACAACAGAAACAATAATCCTAAGGAGTTCTATTAGTAAATGTCAATTACAGCTATGTCCACTGCATTCTAAGTTCTATTTTAAAATGAAAAGTTCCCATCTTAAAGGAACAGCATTAACATTTGTATGCAAAACAAACACACCTATGGAGATTAAGGACAATACAATTTTCCCTCTCTCCCACTACTTTTTTTAAAAATCTAGTATGATCTAGATGTTTACAAAATAATCCTATCACTTTGCCCTCAACTTAAAATTTGTGGGACCTGGCCAAAGAATATCAACGCAGAAGTGCCTACACTTATCTCTCATGCACTAAAACACTGTATGTATGAAAATGTGCAGCTGATATTATTTTGAGGGTAATCTGAAATTTATGCACATGTTTACACTCTATATTAGGAGGTGTGTAAGATGAAGTGTGGTTTGTTGACTTCACAAAATGAAGCTTATGGCGAAGTTCCAGCAACTGCTTCCTCTTCCTCTATTTTATCATTCAAATCAAGGTCATAAGAAGCATTCAAGGAGGTAGCTTTGGCCTCCAGATAGCAGAGGGCTAGAGCCAGAGGAAGCGAAAAGGTGAGAGAAAAAGGAACAGACTGAGAAGCAGAGAGCAACAGCCCAAAGATGAGGATAAGGGAAGGAATGAATGAAGGAGAAGTGATAGGAACATAGTGCTGAACATCAGGAGGGAGGAAGGAAACCCAGAGCTTAGGGAGGCTGGGGAAAGCAAGATATCCATCTTCATCAAGAAGAGAGGGGAAACCAGAGGGAAAACATTTGGAGAAGCTGAAGGAGAAGTAACCAAACTCAGAATTCTCTCGGTCACCTGCTTTAAGAGTCTTCTCGTGCAATGGAGGATAATCAGACTGAGCAGGGACTACAACAGGATCCAAGACAGAATCCAGTGTGGTAACCTCAGGGTCCCCCTGCTCTGATGTTTCACCTGTGGAAAGGAGCTCTAAACTGTCTAGTGTGACCTGGTCAGCCTCCCCAAAAGGGTCTTCCTCTGAAATGTCTGAAAGCAAGTCCACTTCAGGGACTGGCAACAGGCTTGGAGAAAAAGATGAAACACAACGGATGAGTGGTGAAGGTGGACACATGCAAGCAGTCTATTTTCAAAAACAAATCCATAATTGAATAAGAAATTACACAACACATACATTCAAAGGAAAAAATGAATGCAAGAGGGAAAGAGGAAAAAAGAAGAAATGGGTAATTAGTGAAAACTTTACTTTCAAGTAGGTTTTATATTAACAAAGTATAGTTAGAAGACGAATTAAATGATCCATTTTAAAGAGGAAATTGGACTACTTTTATTACATAAAACTTATAGGTATCAACTGATTTAATTATTATTTTCAAACTGATTGCAAGTAAATCCTATGAAACTCAAATCTGATTGCTGACAGACATTAAAAAATTAGCAAAATAAGCCAGCATAACCAGTCATTTGATGAAGATAAGCTTCCCTGAAATTTGAAAGAATACTTTCTTGTCTTTATGATACACAAGAAAAAAAATTTTTAAAAAACTAGATATGTCAAATTATTTAATAAATGGAACAGAAACTTGCTGAAATGCCATGCTCTTCTGTTTCACATGTAAGTAGTCACTCTCCTAAGGTGCCTCCTTATCATAATTATTTTTAAAAATTCTGATCATTTTCCAGCAGTTGAAAGTTATCTTGTGGGACACAATTTCTGTTATTTTTAACAAAATAATTTTTCAAGGTGATAGTCCCCAAACTTATAATAATGGAATACAAATGATTTGAGTCATCTACTACATGAAGCATTTGACCTCTGTGCTGGGCATTAGAGGTTACTGATGCAGGAATTCCTAAGGCACTTACAGATTATCATTGAAAAACACAAGATCACTTTGTGTATGTCTAGAAATTCAAGTCAACATAATTAATCAAGACAGAGGCTATATACTTTAAAATTACTTGGAACAAACCAAATATAATTTTCAAATCATCATAGCTTCTATAGGATGGTAATTCAATTAACAAGATTATTACAAAGCCAGAAAGACCAGTGAATTACTTACTTGCATTAATATAATTTACAATGCAATATTTTGCTTTCAACAACAACCAAAACATGGTTAGAAATCACAGTCACAACCAGCAGGAGCATACACATATTTGAAAACTGGGAATTTACAACAATATAGAACAATGATAATTTTAAAATATTTGATATCTGAAAATGAACCAGATAGCCTCTGGTCCACATACACATTTAAAACCATGTATTTTACTAATTTGCCATACCTTTCCTTCAATGAGTTGCAAATGTGGGGCTTTAGATGGACTTCTGACATCCCTCCGGCTGTCCCTATCTTGTACCATGGCAGTGCTGACAACTCCTGGGCCATACGCTGAAATCCCCCCAGCAGGTCCAGGAAAATCCTTTATAAGACTTTGGTCCACAACACCAATTGGAGCTGGTAAAAAAAAAAAAAAGATAATTTTGGATTACTGTAAGATATATAAAAGGTAAAGCTTTACGCAGAATACTTCCCTCTCAAATAAACAGGCAGCATACATACAACTAACAGAAATAAAAATACTGCTTGATCTCTGAAAATATCAGAATATAAAATAAGCTCATTTTTAAACTTTTACCAAAATCTAACAGTATTTTGAATTTACCCCACTGAACCACACAGGGTCTCATCAGATTTTTGAAGGATATGCTTCAACAATGGAATTGACCAGTAGGAGGAGCTCTCAGACCAGCTGAACTGAACCAGAGTCAAGGCAAAATGTCAGAAAAATGTAACCAATACTTTAATTCTCTTGGGTCTCTTTGGTCTCGTCTAGATTTATTTCTGAATCTACCTATTATAATAAATAATTATCTAATTATTAAAATGATTTGATATAATAAGTTTTAAGAAGTCATTCACTAAGGAACCTTTACTTTGAGCACCAGAAGACAGTAAATGTTAAGAATTTAAATCCTGTTCATGTTAAATATTTATCATTATACTAACACTCCTCTCCTGTTCGTCTCAACCTAACCTACAGCAAATCTAATACACAGATAAAACCACCACTGCCCCAGCAAACCCAGACTTTATGTGCCCCCTTCATCTCTCCCAAAGTTAGGCAAAAACATGTATTAAGTTCAAAGTTTTTATCACACTGCACATCAACCCAAGAAACTTCAACAAGGCAAAATGAGTAGCAGGTGATCATCTCTATCTTTAGCTCCCTCCCAAATATGACTTCCCATGAGGTCCTTTCACTTGTATAAAAAGTGCTTTACTGATACCATGCGGTTTGCTCTGGTTCCTTGTCCCAGAGGAAGCCCAATAACACACAAAAATCCCTGATGCTGCAAGTACTTGAAGAATAGTGCTTGACCATTTTGAACTTGGAAGTCATCAGTACTATGAATCTATGTATCACAGTCTACACACCCTCACCACTGCTCACCTGCTCTGTCTAAAATTTGCATCTTCCTTTGCATCTTTCATCAAATGCTACTCACACTTGTACCCATTTGCTCAAGCCAGGAACCTAGAAGTCTTCTAGGAATCTTCCTTTATTTCAGAACACAGCAGGCCCAACAGCGTCCTTAAACATATTTCTAAATGTAGCAGTTCTTCCCACTTCTATTTCTAACATCTCATCTTTTAAGACTTTTTGAGCCCATAAGTACTCATACTTTTGAAAGCCTACACCAAATCATCAAATATTAAAATGCACTCATATTTTATATCACATATGCTTATTTTCCAGAGGTTGTTTTTAAACTTTTGACAAGATTTTACTAATTTTCTCTTAGAAAATATATGGCTGTGCATGATCTCTTATGATTATAATTTCTTTTTTGGGGAGAGGGAGTACTGGGGATAGAACTCAGGGGCACTCAACCACTGAGCCATATCCCCAGCTCTATTTGTATTTTATTTAGAGACAGGGTCTCACTGAGTTGCTTAGGGCCTTGCTAAACTGCTGAGGCTGGCTTTGAACTTGTGATCCTCTTTAGTCTCCTGAGTTTCTGGGATTACAGGTGTGAGGCACCACACACAGTTGATTAAGATTTCTAAGCACCCATGAGAGTCAGGAATTACTGTAAAATGTGAAAATGTGACTTAGAAATGGTGTCAAATGGAAATGTTACTGAAATATGAATGAATGCCTTTTAAACAATTTCAGGTTGCAGTTTTCTTTTTGTATTTAGGAGCCAAACATTTTTTCAGGTTTTTAACACTTTTGTAGAACTTGAGAAGCTTTGTAGGCCGAGGCACTGAGCCTAACCTGCAGTGTGGCATAGCTAACTGGACTACTTCCATTCAGAGTAAGAGCAACATCACTCTCACTTGGACTATTCCTAACCAGCATGCTTACCTCCTGTCTCCATCCTAATTGTTTTCTTCTACCAAATGATTTTTTTGAAAAATAAAAATCATTTTCTTCTGTGCTCCATACCCTTCAATGGTTTCCAAGAGCACGTAGAATAAAATCCACATTCTTTATCATGGCCTGCAAGGACCTGCATGGCCAGACCACAACCCACCTCTCCAGGCACTTACTAACCTTTCATTAGGCTTGCATTCTTTTTGTTTCTGGAATGCTCTCCCTCACCTTGTAATCTTCAGTCCTGCCACTTCTGCTACCTAGAATGGTTTAGCATCTCCCCCTTTCTCTTGGCTGCCTCCCTCTCATCCTTCAAATTCTAAGTGAACTGGTTCTTCCTCCAATAGGCCTTCCTTCCCTGATGACTCTATGTAAGTAGTGACCCTGCTTATTATATTTTCCACTTTCAGAAAATCAGTGGCTCCCCCAAATACATCTTGGTTGTTAGTGCTCTTACATGAATGATTTGCTTCCTTTTAGGTTTAATTTCCTTATCTCAGAAGAGTCTCACTGTTTTAAATTAAAACAGCTGTTCTAGACTGGTTTTTATTTTGTATTTGGTCTTCAGCTATCTCACTGATTTGTACTTTTCATATAATCACTAGAAGATTTAATCTGCCAAACTTTAAAGTAAAAGATTATTTATATATCTAAATTATTCTAGCCTACTTCAAAAAGTAAGCTGAAAAAAAAGAAAATACAAAATATGTCAACAACAACAAAAGTTATACCGATGAAGATGGTGAAGAAAATATTCAGTACCAGGTTACAGACTAGTGTTGCTTTAGGGGAAAAAAAGGAGAACATAAGCCTTAACCAAAGAGTTTTCTGGCTGTCTAGTCATGTACTGGCATGAAAAGCCTCCTATTTTTCAAGATAACACAATAATCCTTTTGATGACTTGCCCATCTGATGAATTACAGTGTCCAAAACACAAAGGGAAAAATAATGGATTACTATGCCATGTTTGTAGCTTTTACTTGTAAAAATCATTGTTTTCAGATACAGCTTCCTACAACCCTCTGCATTAACTGCCCAAACAGATGGTGGGTTTCCCTGAGCATGGTTTATATACCTCAAAGAAAATATACTGGTTTATTGCTCTTTAAAAGTCTAACACTTGCAATATAAAAGTTAGAGAGCCTCACAATTTAAAACAAAGGCTGAAGACAGACAGTGTTCTAGAAAGAGCAATGAGTTCTCTCAGGGCATTAAACAACAGTGATTGCATTTATTTAGCACTTGTATAAATTCTCTGTGGCAAGGGGAAAGACATGAGAAATATTTACATGAGCTGGCACATTTTCAGATTTACTTGGAAAAGTGCTCAGGTGTTGATTAATAATTCATTGAATTTAAATCACTACATTTGGAAATATAGACACTCATTTGAAGTACAGTTATGGTTCCCTTGCATTTTTTTGTGTGGTCTCATAAGATTTTACGAAGACTCTCTGGACTTAAGATCTAGTAACTATATATTAAAAAATTCTCACCAACAAATCCTGGGAAAGACCTGTGTCGGCCTGTATTTTCTAAATTTTTTTCTAGGAAAAGTAATTAAGGCCAGTGAGCATCAACACTTCACACTAAAGAGCATTTTTATCTGACACCTAATTATTTAAAATACAAATTATTCAAATTCATATTTTAGAAAAATACAAAGTATAATAATAAAAAAGGGAGTTTTACTAAACAACAATAGTAAATAATGTTTTTGAACTGCAAATTGCTATCAAATGTAAATGAAAACGTTGGAAAACTATTTCTTCTTTGGTAGAAAACTGACCATACCCATTTCCATTACACAGTAAAAATAAGTCCTTCATAAAGCATTCTAGTACAAACTTAACCATAGCTTTTTTAAAAATATAATTTTAGTTGTAGATGGACATAATAACTTTTTATTTATTCATTTTTTTAATGAGGTGGTGAGATCAAACCCAGTGCCTCACACGTGCTGGCAAGTGCTCTACCACTGAGTACACACCCCCTATCCCTAACCTTAGGTGGGTTTTTTTTGGCGGGGGGGGGGGGGGTGCCAGCGATTGAACTCAGGGGCACTCAACCACTGAGCCACATCCCTAGTCCTATTTTGTATTTTATTTAGAGACAGGGTCTCACTGAGTTGCTTAGAATCTCACTTTTTGCTGAGGCTGGTTTTGAACTTGAGATCTTCCTATCTCAGCCTCCCGAGCCTCTGGGATTACAGACGTGCACCACTGCGCCTGGCATAACCTTAGCTTTTTTTTATAGGGCATCTACTATTACTATTAATTCCACAAAGACCAGGTAATAAGACAGATACATAGCCAGGCATGGCGGCACATGCCTATAATCCCAGCAGCTTGGGAGGCTGAGGCAGGAGTATAGAGAGATCAAAGCAAGCCTCAGCAACTTAGTGCCCTAAGAAACTCAGTAAGACCCTGTCTCTATATGTAACAAAAAAATGGAGGGGGGTGCATGGTATGTGGATCGGTTGTTAAGAGCCCTGGGATAAATCCCAGATTGGAGAAGGGGAGGTGGGTAGATAGAGATCTTTAAAAGCAACATCAACTTACTTCCACATATAATTTACATAAATCAACTATAATATGTAGCTTATTAGAATGCCAATGGAAAAACACACAACTATACATAATTCCTCTGAGCTTAAAGAACATATGAACACATTATATTTCTTTTAGTTAAAACACTATATTTAAAACTAATCCTTTAAAGACATACACAGGAAAGTTTGGTAAACTTCATCAGAGTAACCCAACATTAGATAGTGCTAGAAATGTTTTATGTTCATTTGAATGAAATTTCATATACTGACATACAAAAAAACCTTAGAATTATATTTCATCATTAATAAGTTCAAGAAATTAAACCACATAAAACAAACCACAATCAAGTAAATAAAAACATGTCCATCCAACATCTAATGAACACAAATGAGAATGACGTCAAAACACTACAAAATTATTTTATTCTGAGTATAATAGCATTTTGTTTACTGAGGAAAAAATTGGCTATTCCTCTAGGGTATTTCTGATGATCTTATTAACTAGTTCAACATTCTGTGACCACAATGAATTAGAGAAAGAGGAATGAAATCCAAAATTATCATAAATGTATTTACCTCCATCTAGACTCCCAGAGACCCGTTTACTAGAGGTGCGCTCAAAGTGTGGCGCTGGCCTGTCTATGAGGATGCTTGCCTGGCGGGTCTGCGCTTGTGTACGGCCACTGTAGCGGAATTTGGACCCCAAGGTCAGGAACTTGGCCTTTGGTGGCTGCTCTGGAGACACAAGCCTTGAGGGGAGCGGGGAAAACAGGGAGCAAAATTAGATTTACAGATTTTTTTTTAATTAAAATGATATATTTTAGTATCTAATTTTATATATTTTAGTATTATCTAATTTTAAGTATATTCAAAACAATGCTACCTAACTTATAATAAAAAGAAATATTATTTGTAAACCCTCCTATATATATATGTAGCTCTATGACGGTGATATAAAGCCACATTCATGTACTCATGAAAAATATTTTTCTCAACCAGAGTGAAAGAGCAGCTGTTCTCAGTGTATATCAAGGGTTATTTATTTGTATTAGATTAAATCATTTATATAAACACATATGTCTGAATTCTTGCTCCTAGCTATAAGTGCCAAGTAGCAATCCATTACCATTAGTAATTCTTAATATTTATGCCTGTTTTTCCTGGGGAAAAACATTTAACTCGAGAATCTGTTTCATCATGTGATTCTTTCCCATGAAGAACAGAACACACAGTGGATCTGTAGAGATGACTAACATCATTTACTGCCAGCACAATTTTACTATGCAAGCCCTGGGTTTTTAATTAAGTAAACTTTCTTCCCAGAGTTGTGCATGTTTTCAGTAAATAAGTCAATCTTTCTGGAATACAACTGAAATTGTCTTATTTTCTTGTTTGATCAAGAATTAATAAAATGTCTTAACAAAATAATTATCTCAGAGCTCTTACACAATTTATTAAATATGATCTTAACTAACAATTCAGGAGTATGGAGAACTCTACCAAAACTTTTCCTATCATTTTCTAAGGAAAAGTGATTTCTTAATAAAAGATTTTTTAAAAATCATTTCAAGTGTTTGAAGACCTTCAAATTTTATAGAAATCTCTTCTTGCTTAATGTCCAATAAAGAGATCCAAGTCAAGGAAAACCAGTATGTAATAAATAAGAGAGGCAATCTCAAATCAACTGAAGATTTGCAAAACAGTATTCACCCAGAAAAACAGTATGTTAGAATGAAATTGATTTATTTCTGACTTTCTTGGCTTAAATCTATTCATTTAGGAATCAGAAGCGTACCTCAAACTGTACTTTAGAAAAAGGTGCATATTCTTAAAATAGCTTGCCAGAACAGTAGAAATTTGGACCTAAAAAGAACCCCCTAGTCATGCTCTGAGTTATTTTTCTCTAATAGCAGAGACATGAGGCACAGAGAAGTCAAAACTCCCAGCATGCTGATCGTGAGTAACAGACAACTAGGATGAGAGATTCGAGACCATTTGCCATGCACTGTTTCCTGATGGGCTGAATGGCAGGAATTCCCTACTTAGAAATCCATCTAAATACGATCTAAGAATTCTCCACTGAGAAAACAGTGATCTACTAATAAAAGAGGGGTGGGGATGTGGCTCAGTGACAAAGCACTTGCCTAGCATGTATGAGGCATTGGGTTCAATTCTCAGCACCACATATAAATAAAGTCCACTAACAACTGAAAAAGTATTTAAAAAAAGAAAGAAGAAAGAAAAGAAAAAGGGTAGAGTAAGGAGTCTCTGGCAAGCTTGTAAGTGCAGCAATTGTTTGGGAAATACTTACACTCCTTAAAAACCAGGTTAGCCTCATCACATTTATCTTTATTTTAGTCTATTCATAAAGTATAGTATATACATACTGAGTCATCAACTAGAGCAAAAAAGAGAAATTCTTAAAGAATACCTCAAATAAGAAATGTGCATTGACAACCCCAAAGACAATCTCCAGAACAAATTTCTAAAACTACAAACAGGATGTCTGATTTTTGGAAATATGAAAATATTTTAAGAATACGTATGTTAAAAAAAGGATATATCTTTTTGAAGGTTTAACCTGCCATCTTCTTTTATAAAATGAACTAATTTTAAAACCATCTGAAACTGCTCAGGAAGCTGGGGATGTGGCTCAAGCGGTAACGCGCTTGCCTGGCATGCGCGGGGGACTGGGTTCGATCCTCAGCACCACATAAAAATAAAATAAAGATGTTGTGTCCACTGAAAACTAAAAAACAAATATTAAAATATTCTCTCTCTCTTTCTTTCTCTCTCTCAAAAAAAAAAAAAAAAAAAAAAAAAAACTGCTCAGGCTCAGAAAACATTTTTAAAGAATTTCCTGGGCTGGGCTGTAGCCCAGTGGTAGAGCCCTCGCCTGGCATGTGAGAGGCACTAGGCTCAATCCTCAGCATCACATAAAAATAAATAGATATTATGTCTATCCACAACTAAAAGAAAAATTTTAAGACAATTCCCATTGGTGTTTTCCTAACTTTCTAATTTTAGTTTATGTAACTTCTTCACATGCACCAGGTGCTTAATAAATACAAAGGAGGACCTCACATTCATCTTTTACTACATGAGGGTACTAAGCATCTGGAAAACTCCAAAGATTATGCTTATGTATCTCTTGCAGTGTTCTCTCTCTCTCTTTACTCTCACTCTCTTTTTTTTTTTTTTGGGGGGGGGGAACCCAGGGGTGCTTAACCTCTGAGCCACAACCCCAGCACTTTTTACTTTTTGAAACAAAGTGTTGCTAAGTTGCTGAGACTGGCCTCAAACTTTGATCCTCTTGCCTTAGCTGCTGAAATGACAGGTGAGCCCCACTCCAGCTTTCCTCTCTTGAGATAGGCTCCAGCTATGCTACCCAGGTTGGTGTGAGCTCAAGGTACACCACCACCAAGCCAGTAGCTGGGATTACGGAAGGTGCCACTGCACCTGGCTCTTCAGTGTTCTCTTGGTGTTGTAGTCACACCATTGAAGAAAAGTTTCTGAGTTTTCTTGTATCAGAAATTTTGGGGAGAAAGTTGGCGTTAAGCCAAATAACCTCTGACACACTGTAAGAACCACTAGTGAATGGTCCTACTTTAATTCGATAAAACACAAAATGATTAATTTTAATTAAAGTCTTTTTAAAATAACTCTAAAGATGACCTCTTATTTATATAGACTGGGTGCTTCAGTAGGTTTTTCTGACTACTGTGACCAAAAGACCTGACAATTAACAATTACAGTAGGAAAAGTTTCTTTGGTGCGCACAGTTTCAAAAGTCTCAGCCTAGACATGGCCAACTCCATTATTCTGGATAAGGGATGAGGCAGAACACCATGGAGGAAGGGTATGGAGGAGAAAAGGAACTCAGAACATGAAATTGAGGAGCAGAGAGACTGCTCCACTCAACAGAGACAAAATTATATACCTCAAAGGTATGCTCCCAATGACCAACCTCCACCACACCCTATCTGACTATAGTTACCACCCAGTTCAGTTAATCCATTCAATTGGATTAATATTCTGAATAGGTTAAGGCTCATAACCCAATCATTGTACTTCTAGACTTTCTTGCATTGTCTAACACGTGAGATTTTGGGGGACACCTCATATCTAAACCATAACACTAGGATATCTATCTAATGAGAATAATTCTATAGAACCATATTTCTTGAGATTGTTTTTAAGGAAATGGACATATGGTTAATTGCCATTTAAATGAATGCCAGAATAATCATCCACCAGAACATCTTTATAGAAGATAGTCTACTATATACACATATATACATATATGCATAACACAATATCTACAAGAAATATAAGAAAAATATGTATCATAATACAAAAGAAGGAAAATCATAATTAGATGAACTTTTATTTCAAATAGGGATGAAATACTATCTTTTTTACCCAGCATTGGTAGCCACATATACAAAACGTTAGCTTACAGATTGCTTTCCAAGAATGAAGTCTTGAGTAATTAGGATGCAATTATATGGAAAGAAATGTCAAAACAAAAGGATTTAACACAAGCATTTGTTATCTTTCTCTGAACTTTTTCATGACTGAAGTCAGAAGTAAATACATTTTGAAAGAAAATGTAGGCAAAGTAACAAAATATTTTAATACTATCACTTCAAGAATACTTAATTATGTCCATCAGTGTTGTAATGGGACCCTATCTTCACAAGAATAACATCAAAACTATTAAAGACATTGACTACTCACTTTCAAGAATATAAAGCTGCAAACTTTTGCAAAGTATTAAAGACCTTGGGCAAGATGATGTAAGTAATGATGTGTCAAAAAGGAACTCAACCTTTACATATTTCACTGCTCAAAAAGAATATTACCAATTTAGTTTTATAACACCCTACCATTTTAAGAAAAGCCACATATAAATTACTAAAGTTAATCATGATTAGTGCATAGGTTTCCATAAAGCTCTCTGGTGAAACTGGTGGCACCAATATGCTTGAGATTATTCTGGTTCTATGATGCCAAGTTTAAAAGGCAGTTTAATATCCAGCTACAAGAACTTCACGCTTATTTCTTGTTCACATACATATAGAACAACAACAAAAGCACTGGGGGAAAAAAAGACAGGAAGACACATTCATTGCAGATGTAAATGGGTAGCATGGCATAGCATATACACATATGAACACCAGGAACCACAGTGCCTGGGGTTTGAATTCCATCTCCACACGTTACTACCTACATAGCCATGGGTATCCTTCTTAACTTCTGTTAAGAGAAAATAATAGCACTTGCCCCATAAAATGTGTAGTAAAGATTAAAAAAATTAATCCCTATATAGCACTTAGAATAGTGACAGGCTCTATAAAATGTTCAAGCAATGGTAGCAACCTTATTTTTACATCTTTGTTTCACTAATATTAGTCTGGTTAACCTTCAATGAATAGAAAGATCAGTTTATTTTTTAATAGCTTCAATCCATAAGCCTTATAATTTTCTAAAAAAAATATGCATCTTTTATGATAAACTAAAAACATAATCCACTGATCTATTTTAAAGCACTCTGCAGATATATTATGATTTGCCCTTTCTATGTTAAGATACATATAGCTTTAGAAGCATTATGAAGGTTTATAAATATAAAAATACTTCTGTTAACCATTACCTTAAAAGTTTGTAGGAATGGATCAGTCTACTTTTAGAATGGAGTCGGTGACTCATTAGTCAAAAAGATGGAGGGACTCTGAGGTTTTTGCAGGGCTAACAAAAGCTCCTGCTAGAACCATATGAGAGGGAGGAGAGAGCAGAATGAGGAATGTGTGACTTGGAGTCAGAGAGCCAGGCCCCCAACTCTGCTTGGGCACCTGCTGTTACCTGCCTCTGAGCATCAGTTTCCTTCTGCTGTGGTGAGGAACAAATGAGTTGCTGTAATATAAAGCAATGAATTATGTGTCTGACAATTGTAAATGCTCAAGGAATGAATGTTAGCATTTGTCATTTCTAAAAGGATTATTGCTTTTATCATTATAGGGAAGACTGCTGTCTGTCCAGCCTAGACTTATATGACACAAAGTTTTATACTGGCTTTATATGAGTGGCTCATGGGTCTCATAGAGAGAAATGTTATGGCTACCAAGAGAAATCAAATTTTTCAAAGCTATCTATGATCAGTTTAACTGAGTCAAGGCGATTCAAGGATATTTTATGATTTATATTTCTTTATTATTTATATTTATATTTCTCCTCTAACTTGGTGATGGTGATGGTGGTGGCAATGGTGATAATGATAAACATTATTATACACCTGAAATGGTTCCGAGTTTGTTTCACATGTATAATCTCATTCGAATTTCAAAACAATCCAATAAGTACATATTACTATTATTAGCATCTCATGTGGAAGATAAAATTGAAGCACAAAGAGGTTGAGGAACTAACCAGTTACAAAGATAGACAGTGGTGGAACCTTATCAGACCCTAATTCCATAGCAAAAATCTTTAAAATGAAGGGCCTAGCATACACAGTTCTGCAGACCACAGTAACAGAAAATGGAGGAAATGAAGGTAACCAAACTACTTGTTAAAAATCTGCTGCTGAAGAAAAGTACAAAAGGAGGCAGGATACAAACTAAAGATGGTCATCTGGGGACTTTCTGGTTCTTAACAGAGCAAGACATAAATATATTCATTGGCCAAAGTCAAAGGCACCCACTAGAAAGTAAAAAATTTACCTGGCAGGATCCTCTTGTGAGGCATGAAATAAGGGTTTAAGCAAAGGAATAACTATCCTTTTCTTGGGACAGGAAAGGAGTAAAACAATGAATGCGGGGAAGGGAAATAATTCCTAATTACAAGAAAAAGTGCAGAAGAAAAGGTGCTCATGACTTAAATTTCTACTCTAAGCACACAACACAATGGGGAGTACCTGAGGGAAAAGGCAAGTGAGCCTGGGGACTCTAGAAGAATAGTAATATTGGGGATGTCAAAAGGCATGAAAAGACTGATTGTTTAGGAGCACTGAGAATCCAACTAATGTGAGAAATTATTTATCTGTAATAGCATTGATCCACAGAGATGTGTTCTGTTATAATGAAGAGCTCCTTGTATCACCCTAGTTGTTCAACTTAAGATGGCACTTAACAGCACAGGTACAGAAGTGGTAAGGTGGGAATTAATGGGTACACAGAACTAATCCAGTACCAGCTTAGGAAACTGGATATTGAAAGAGGGCAGAGGTTATAGCACTCTTGAAAATATTGCCTAAGGGACAGACCACAGAGTGCAGGCTGGTTTGGGCAAGAGGTGAAGTGAGGGAGCTGATGACAACATCTAAATCAAACCTAAGATGAGTGATAGCGGAATGAACAGCAGCAGGCAGGGAGTAGTATGGTGGTTATGGAAGGAAAGGGTAAAGTTTTGGGCAACTGCAAAGACAGATCACAGCATAGCCTTAGGCAACAGAAAAGGACAGGGGAATAGACTACATGTGACAGATGAGATGTGGCACCAAGGAAAGCAAAGAACCCTAAGGCAGGGGTTGATGCATCTGCTATACTAGCCACTACCACTTCCTGATCCATGGAGGGCACCAATAGCAATTCCAAAGTGACTTCTTTAAGTTACCTGTAGAAAGTATGATGCTCCACACACACTTTCCATAGCCTCTTTGCTGCTCGATGGTTTGGCAGTTTGAACCCAATGGTGCTCTCAAACTGCTCCAGCTGGAACAAATCCATAAAATGAATTAGCATATCTCCTTAAGCTCTGACTAGAAGCTACTGATAAACGTGGATTTAGTTGTTTCTGTAAGAATTCTTCTTCAGAAAGGCATATATATCTAATAACAGACAAAATGAATTTTTCATAGATTGCAATACTATTTTCTATGACAAGCAAGTATCTACTACTCACATACACGCTACTCTTAATGTCCACTAAAATGCATTTTTCCACCTTTCTACTTACTCCACCACTTAACTGATTCAAAAAGAAGAAATGAGTTCCTACTATGTGCCAGACATATATTACTTTTTCTTGCTGTGCAAGACATGGTGGTTGAATCCATTTAACTAGAGGAACATGCTTATACAGATTTATCAAGAAGCCCTGACCATTTTACCATAGAAGAATAAAGAATATTTCTTATCCTCATGACTTTGTGAAAAATAATTTATTTAGCTCTTTTTAATTAAAGGAAACACTGATAACTGATTCGATATGACAAGGACATTACTTACCTCTGCTGGCCTAACTTTAATGTAGAAGTTACTGCGCTTATAAGAAATTTTTAGGATCTTCGGCCAAGCAAAACGATTGATTCTCAGTCTATCTTTATAAATGAGGAGCCCATTAGCGCACACACCTAGCTTGATGTCCACGCCTTCTGAGTCCTGCCAAGCATAATTCATGTGACCAAAATTAGAACTACAATAGTTATACAGATCAGGGGGCTGACTAGCCCCTCTCAAACCATGATCAGGAATGCCAACTTAACAGGTTTCTATTTAAAATGTTAGTGCAGGTACATAAATTAAGAGAACACATGTATATTTTAAATCTTCATCTTTAGGATTCAGGTTTGCTTTGCCAAAGAAATATTACAACATGATTATAGAACACAGGATTCTTCAAAAGGCCTAATCCATACATTCTCAAGCTCTATGAAGAGCTAACAGGAAAGAAGGGAAACAGAAGTAGCTTTAGATATCTTGAAGATCCGGATGATATAATATGTTCCCTGGAGGATACTCCAGCCCTCAGGTCAGTCTGTTGGCCTTCCTAAGGTATGCTCAGCCATTTGACTTTAGGCAACTTTCAACTTTATCTCAGATGAATAATGCTAGCCAATAGCTGTTAAAATTATGACTAAACTTGGCAAAACAGCAAACCCTCATAGAAACTTCTCCTCTAGTCTGACAGCATTGAAACAGAAATCTCCGAATTCTTTCAAGCTATTTTTCAATAACTTATAAGTGCTGACAGCATCCAGTTCTCATTTAGCACTCCTTTGACGAGCATATTTCAGAGGACTGCAGACTCTTGAACTTCTTTTCTTTTCCCCAGATCTTTAATTTGAAATATATGACAATGTAAAATCATCTCAAGCCTGAAAGATTTTTTTAAAACAAACTTAGACAAAAGTGAAAAACAGTTTCCTCATACTTCAAGTAGTGCTGAAGACCTAATGTGCACAATATTCAAAATTCACACATCACGGTTTATCCTGAAGGGGATCACATTCAAGATATGTAAAACTGGCATGTATTTTTCAGAGGTATTCACATTTTCAGAAATCATTAACAAGTTGGAACAAATTCTCACAAAAAAAGCTGGGACAATTATCATATTTAGCCTACATCCCAATTCATGAAAAGCTTAACATTTTGACTCTCATACTAAGAATAAAACACAATTTATATTAGAAAATATTTTTTTAAAGAGTGAGAGAGGGAGGGAGAGAGAGAGAGAAAGAATTTCAATATTTACTTTTTAGTTATCGGCGGACACAACATCTTTGTATGTGGTGCTGAGGATCGAACCCGGGCCGCACACATGCCAGGCAAGCGCGCTACCGCTTGAGCCACATCCCAGCCCATAGAAAATATTTTAAAATAAAAGTATAGTACTAGGCAACTGATGTAATTTCTTTATCTGCTGTGACTCTTGAAACTGATATACAAGCACAAAATAAAGTTATGTGAGACCAACCTGAACAGAGGTGGGTTATCTATCTGGTCCCAAACACATTCTCTCCTACCTCCCTTATTGCTGTTTCTTGGCTAACTTCCAGCCTATCCTCACCATATAGAACAGACTGTAAAAAAAAGAAATTAACTTATATGATGCTTTACTTGTACTTACCCTGGCAGCCATAACTCTCTAGGAATAAAGCATAAAAAGCTGCAGTGAATTAGGCCCAGGTGCCCAAGCTACTTGGCCCCAGACCCAAAGGGTGTGTTTGCCAAAAACTTCACTGCCCATGGCCAGAGGGAGCAAGGCGAGAGATGGCCTAAGATAGCATGTTCTCACCACAACCCGGAGCAACCCTCATTTGAAACACTGAACAAAGCCATCTCTGGTCTGTAGCAATCTTCAGATAGGACAAGGAAGCTATTTTATCTGGCTTAAAAATAAACACCACCCTTATTCAAGTAAATGGGTTGATTTTTGGTTGTTTTACTTATTGTTTTAGAATGATCAGTAATTATTTGTGTGAATAGAAATTAGAGAGAAAAGGAATAAAATGAAAAGGAAAAAAAGCATGTCTAAATCCTCCAGGTCTGAGTTATACCACTCAGCAACCAAGTCAAAAAAAAAAAGACTGAATAAAAAGGAGCAACCTCCCTGCCTTGTTCATTGCTCCTTTAAGAAGCTTCTCCATAAGGACACCAATAGGATCCCATGTCTAGTAGATTCAGGTTATGATGAGTTATTGCAAAGTTCAGGGAAGTCTGGGATTTTATAACCAGATCCCCTCCCTGTGTGGTCACATGAAGCTGGCTGTATCCCTCTATGAGGGCTCCTCTAAAGACAGCCTTCTCCAGACACATCACTCCTTCTGGATTTTGGTAACCACTCTTTGCCCTGTCCCCTTTGGACCTACAGGATCAAGAAGGATGCTGTTGGGTTGAGGGTATAGCTCAGTGATACAGTGCTTGCCTAGCATATTAATGGCCCTGGGGTCAATCTCCAGCACCACAAATAAAATATATATATATATATATATATATATATATATATATAT